GGACTGAAGGAAGTTTTTGGACTGCAAATGTTAAGATTGTTCCAAATAGTAAGATTGAGAATATCGAATACAAGTATGTGTTAACAAACAGCTCATCTAAAGCTCATGTTTGGGAGCCAGGAAAAAATCACTCGGTACAAATTAGTAGCGATACACTTAGAGAGCTGCAGCTTACAGATGCCTGGGGAGGAGGTGGCTTGTATTAGGAATTAAGTATTATGAAATATTAATATAGAAAAGTAAATAGTAATGAAAACTATTTCGAGGTAGTTTTTTAAATAATATCAAATTTGTAATATCTAGCATTTATTACATAAGTTATCTAGTTTATCTCATAGCTAATATTCAATGATCTAATTATAATCCTACAGCGTTTTCCAAATTCTTAAGTCTTACTTCTTGAGCATTCTTTAAATTCCATGTACTTCCTCCTTGAATCTTGATTTCCCAAGTGGATCTAAAAATAGTGATAGAAATAATATTTACTATTAGTGTTACAATCCAAATCATAGTAATAATAAATGCCATTTTAAATCCTATTAGGAAGTGTCCAACTTGTAGAAAACTATAGCTCCAAAGACACCACTGGTATATTAACTGAAAAGTTACAACAATTGCACTAAATTGTGTTGCAAAATATGCGAATCCTGCTCCTCCTGGACCACAATAAAAGCATAAGAATGATAAAAGTGTGACACCTGTAAACAAAGCTGATGAAGTTAAACCACCAATTTCCTGATTTGGAGTTTGTGAAAATTGGCATGTTGTGAAGATTCCTGATGCCAACAAGATGAGAGATGTTATTGTTCCAGAAATTCCCAAAGGAATGCAGCAACAACATCTTCCATGAGTTGAAGAACCAAGATAACACATTATATCTTTTAGTTAATGACTTTTTCTCTTTATTTGTTTCTTAATTTTTAGATTTTCAGAGCTTTAATTCTATTTTACCGGCCTTTTTTTTTTTACTTTAATCCGAGCATAAATTAAATTCCAAAGGCCTAATTTTAGTAATTAATTAATTTATTTGCATACAAAATTTTAATAATTGATAAAGAAAACCCTTTCCTTTTTTTTCTCCCTTAACTTTTCCCTCTCTAATATCTCCTTTTCCATTTCCATACTTTTGGTTAGGGACATATTTTTTTTTTCCTCTTTACTTCGTAATTTCCCTTCTTTCTTCTTTTAAACTTATAATATATAATGAATAAAATCTTACAAAAATCCAATATAAATCTTTTTTATTGCAATTTAAGCTAAGACAAAACATCATTAAAAATTGATCAGGACTTCCAATACTAAATATATATTATATTTGCTTATTTAGGACTTTTAGGCTAAAAAGAAGAAAATAAACTAATTGGGGACAATTGAAATCAAATTATTGATAAGATATTAGTAGAGGATTCTGGAATAGAACCTGAAAAAATCAGTTTTAGTTCTATTTTCGATTTTCCTATTCGGAGTTTGATCTCTCTTCATACTCATTGTCATCATCATTCTCTTCGCTATCGCTATCATTTTCATCACTTTCATCCTTTACACCTTTTGTTTTGCGGACTTTGCGTATCTTGCTGTTGTAATCCTCATCATCTTCATCTTCATTGCCATTATCGTCAACTTCGTCATTATCATCATCTTCATCTTCATCATCGTCATCTTCATTTTCGTCCTCATGGTCAATATCGATGTCATCCTCATCTTCATCTTCATAATTGTCAAAGCTATCATTTTCATCATTTTCTTGATCCGCCTCAAATTGGTAAGTGATTAAAGCGTTATTAGACTCAGAGGATATCTTATTACACATTTCCGTGATAAGTTTGTTTTCCTCAATAATATGCTGAAATATATCCAAAGTAGATTGGAGACTTATCAAATCTTGGTTATAACTTAGCCTCATGGAAATAATTTCATTCAACCTTTCCATTTGGTTCAAAATAAGTAAAATTCTATCAGTATCCCCTTTAAAAGCTACGACCTGTCTTGCTATACCTTCAAGCAGAACTGAAATCCAGTTAGAAAGCTCTAAAAGCTTCATTGGATTATCTTCTATTCTATTCATAATCTCCTCAAAGAGCTCCAGACAATTCCCATCAGAAATTTGGCTTACTGAACCTCTAATTATTTTAATATCATTATGAGAAAGAGCGTTCTCCAACATATTTTTGTCCTTACTTTGTATACCTTGTCTCAATATATTCACTATCGTCACACTCTGATTATTAGTTCCTATAAATTCGTGTTCATCACAAACGGTTCCTCCTGTCACCTTATTAACTTCATTAATTCCCGTCTTTCTCATTTTTTTGGGAGAATGTAAAACACTCTGTTCTGAATGGTCCTCCATTTTATCTTGATTCCTCCTCTAAATAACTAATTACGTAATATTGAATTAACTTATAGCTATTAGTTACTAATAACTAATCTATAACTGCTATCAGATTGATGAGCAGACCAATAAACTTAATTATATAAGCAGAATCAAAGAAAAACTAATCTGACTTGAATTCTTCTTTCGCTTTTCTCCGAATGCCTACTTGGTCAATTTATGACTTTTCTCTTTTTACTGCCTCTATTTTTTCTTTATTTCCAAAATTGCCCGCCAAAATTGCCCGCCCAATAGAAATAAATCAATATAATAGCATAAATAATAATAGAATACCGAGAGATAATTTGCATGAGTGGTATGTATAGAAGAGGGGGTTGAAAGGTTAAGTTGCAAATAGTATTAGGAAAGTGTTTGGTATGGCAAATAACTATTGAACTGAACTAATGGTATTTTTAATTCTCCTTTGGTTCCTTTGATATAGAGGTTTTAATTAAGAATAGTGAAATAACAAAGTTTTCTATGAATTTGTGTGGGGTGAAGTCCTTAAAGAGAACGTATTGAATTAGGTTTGAAAAAGGAGAAAACTAGTCTTTTTAATTTATATAACTAGAGTATTGGATTTTCATTTAAAGTTTATCAGAAAAAGAATGATTTCAGATACATTAAGAAATAATGATCTTAATTTAAATGTAGAAAGTGACAAGACTGCCTTAACTACAGGAAACTCTAACCATCTACTTTTGGGAAGTCAATTATTGGAAAAAAATAATTCCAACTTGGTAGAATCCTCAATTTACAAAATCTTTCCTGAAGAAGCTGATAGAAAGATTATATTAGAAAATGATATACCATTAATTATGCTATGTGGATTGGGGAGTAGTGGGAAGACTTCCATAATTAAAGTATTGTATGATAAAGTTTCTCCACACGAGACAGTTTCTTTATATCCAACCCAATCAGGAAGTATTACTTTGATTAAGAATGAGTCAAAAATTCTTCCTTGTTTTGGAATCATTGATTTACCTGGGACTGGTCAGATCCAAGATTCCCTATTGGGGGAAGATATCTTCAGTAAAGTTTCATCATTAGTTTTTGTTATTGATTCCCAAAATTATCCCTATAATACGGAAATTTTAAGGGCTAAAAGACTTTTCCAAAATGCTATCCAAGTTAAACCTGGAATCACTTTTGAAGTTTTCCTTCATAAAACTGACAATGAGACATTTTCATTGGATGGAGCCCACTTGGAATCTCAAAGAGATATCCATGAAAAAATCTCAAGCTTTATTTTCCAACACGGCTTTGAAATTGACATTAGATACCACTTTACCTCTATATATAATGATTCTCTTTTAGAAGCTTTCAGCAAAGTCACACAGAAAATCTCACCATTTACTCAAATACTTGAGAAACTTCTAGATGTTCTAGTCATTTCTTCTTCTTTGGAAAAGGCTTTCCTTATGGATATTTATTCCAGAACATTTGTTGCCAGCGACTCATCTCTTTTCGATCCTATTGGATTCGAACTATGCGCTGATATCCTCAATGTCATTTCTGAAATTAACGAAATATACGCACCAAATTGTTCTTTGTCAAGAAGCTCATCTGGGATCTCATGCTCCATTAACCTTGATTCTGGACATCTTCTTCATATTCAATCAATCGACCATAATATTGTTCTTGCATGCGTTATAAGAAATGAGCATGTCAAAAATACATCTCTCATTAATATCAATATTGATATTCTTAAGCAAACTCTCATTCAAAAAGTTCTTTCTCCTTAAATCATTTTAATTACATGTATACCTTGTCAAACATTACAAATGGCAGTATTTCCCGCCAAAACTTATTAATGTTAATATAATATAGCGATGCTTTATATTAATTAATTAGTGAATAGATAAATTCTCTTATTTATATATTTGAAAGTTTTGTACATGCAATCTAATTCAGAGTTTGCAAAAGACTCGTCAAGTTTTGATACTAGCCAATTTGCTATTTGGGAGCTTAACCAGGCTTCGACCTCGCCAGTCTCTCCCACTTCATCAAACTTAACGGACTCTGAATATCAACTAAATCCATTAACCCCGACCTCTGATCCTTCTGATCCCAAATTAGAATTTAGATGTTCTTCTTGCGAAATTTACTTGAGAAGAATGCATGGACTTGAGAATGAACTACAGATTCTTACTAATAACATTTATTGTCTTTTCAAAACCGCTAAGGAAGAAATACAGAGGAAAGACAAACTAATTCAAGAAAAGGATGAATTGATCAAACAGCTCAAGAAAACGAAAACAAAACAATACAACAAATAATACTCTATATTTCAATTATTACTACTTTATTTATTTCATATATATCCTATTAAATACCTTATAATAAATTATATTTATATACATTTTTTTTTTCCCATGCATACATGGTACATACAAATATTTATTGCAATGAATTCTATTTGGTTACTTACTAACAAATTTTTTTAAATTTTAAAGAATATTTCTATTGCCATTAGTTGTTGTAAAACTTGGTGGTATTTCTTTATTTTTCAAAATATTTTTCTCCATTTAATATTTTCACACTTATATTTATAATATAACTTGAAAGTAATATTGAAATATAAATAAAACAAAAGAGCGCGCTTAGTGGAGAAAAGCACGAGTAAAAGAGGCCCTGCTGGGAATCGAACCCAGATCACAGGAATCAGAATCCTGGGTGATAACCATTACACTACAGGGCCAACTAATACACGGGTGTGCTTACTATAATTTGATTACTTTTCATATACTTCTTTTGGCAAATACAATAGTGCACTTTTTTGTAATTGTGAATCAAAATATTTATAATTTCTATATGGATCTTTCCAACGTATATCATTATTAATATCGATAACTTTAATTCCTTCCTCCATTGGTAACATTATATTAGCAGCAACTTCTGTACTATATTGTGGTAATATTGAATAATCAATACTTGACATATTATTATCATTTCTATCAAAATTATTTTGATTATTAATGTTATGAAATGATCCGTAATTTTTATTAATAATATTTTTATTATTTCCATATTTTGAAGCATTTTCATCTCTATTATAATTTTTACTTAATACATTATTTCTATAATTAATATTTTGTTCATTATTTTGTATACCATTAATATAATTTCCTTCAATATAATTATCAAAATGATGATTATTGTAATAATTTTGAAATATGTTTAATCCATATTTATTTTTACTCTTCTCATATTCATTATCTTCTGAAGATGTTAATAAATCTGGATATAATGAAGCAATAAGATATTTCTTATGAAATTTAGATAATAATATACGCATTAAATTTAATACAATATTAATTTCATAAGTATCAGATTTTCCAGCTGATACATTTCTGATAATTTCAATACACCATTCATAAGCACTAGAAATTTTTTTTTCTACTAATAATTTATATACATGCCCACATATATCAATAATAGTCATAGTTGGTTCACATGTTAATAATTCCCAAAAATTTTCTTTTTCTTGTGAAATATGGCCCATTTGTCTTGGACTCATAACTACTGAAGCACCTAGATAATCGGTTGATCTTCCTATACCATTTTCTATAATATTCTTACTTATAATATTTTCTTGTATATTTGTATTAATATTACAATAATCAATATAACCATAATCAGTAAAATCAGTAATTCTTTTATTAATTATTCTTTGTGATAAATTATCAATATTTAATTTATTTCCAGGATTTTGATTTGAATAACAATAATTATCATCATTTTTTGGTTTAATTCTTCTTCCAAATGTTAAATCTTTAACAAATGGTGATGCACTTGAACTAACAGCTATAGATCTAATAGAAGATAATAAACGAACATTATCAATTTGTGAAAGAGATAATAATGATATAATAATTTCATGTTTTAATACCCACATTAAACGATTATACCATATTTGTCGATCATTTTCATTATATTCATGATTTGTATTTAATATACTTCCTGTACCTCTTATATTTGCCATAATTCGATTAATTAATGATCTACACATTAGTAATGCATCTTCTCTGTGTTTTGCAGTTTTTGTATCAAAAATAGATTTTTCCATAATTAATAAATCATCATATTTTAATAAAATAGGGAATTTTGTCCAATTTCTTGATTTGGCCATAAATTTCTCATCATAATAATAATATTTATTTCTGTTATTATTAAGAAATATATCATCTTCATTAATATTTGAAGCATTTTGTTCAATACAAAATAAATCATATACAATTTGGAATTGATAATCATTGTCAACTTCTGTTTCTCTATCTTGTAAATTTAATGGTGGAAACATTAAATCTCTACAACCCAAAATAATCTTACATCTTGTTGCCATCATTAATAATTTTATAGTAAATTTATGACTTGGGCCCATGAAACTATCTAATTCTGGTATAGAATTTACTAATATTTTTAATGCATTATCGTATCTACCGCATCTAATTGTTGCTTCACCAATAATGTATCTACAAATAGATTCCAAATATACTTGTTTTGTATTTCTTTTGATTGTTGATCTTAACATTCTTTCACCTACAACAATACATTGAGCATAATTTCCTAATTGTAATGATGATAAAGCAATAAATCTTAAAGCAATAATAATCATCCAATGTATTGAATCATCTTCAGAAACCTCACTTAATAATGGTGTCAATATCTTTTCAACATTTTTTGAATTAGTATAACATTCTTGAAAATTACCATTCACAAAATATAATAGAGAAAAACATAATTGTAATTTTACTAATATTAAACAATTTCTATGATTGCCATATAATTGAAGTATTAATTTTCTCATAAAATTAAATTCCGTGGTTGCTTCTTCTAATTTATTATATTTTATTAAACACTGAATTTTTAATGCAATAATTAATACTTGATACTTTGGAATTTCTGGGGTACATGAAAATGCTAATTGACATATACTCAAACATTCATCCAATTTATTATGTTGTAGAGCCAAAAATCCATTATTTAAGATTAAAAATAAAATTCTTTCAATACTTTCACCAATTAAACGCTTTGCAATAAGTAAAAAGTATAATGCTTTATAACAATCGTAATGAAATTGACATGTAATATTATTTTCAATTTTATTCATTACTTTATTATCTTTCGCATAAATTGGTTTACACATTGGATGACATGGTGTAGCAAATCCTTCCAAGCTTGCTCTTAATGGACTTATATTTCCCATAGTTACTGTATTAATGTATATTGGATTACATAAAATACTTGATGATGTAAATAATTTGTCTTCTAATTTACTATCTTTTGATTCTTTTGATGATGTAATAAATATACGATTCCAAGTTGGTATACGAAGCCTCCATATATATCTACATAATATTGTTTTAGATATATTAATACTTTTTAATGTTCTTGGTACTACTATCTTAACTTTTGGAAAATAACCACGTATTATTCCTGTTTCATTCCATGCCCATACTTGACCATTCATACCTTTAGTAAAATTATCATCTTTATTTTGATTAACTAAATATGCATTAGTTTGATTACTAAATAAAGTTAAAATTGGCATTTTTTTTGAATTAGAGTTTTTTATTGATTCCATAAATGAATCACGTTTAAGCCTTTGTGTTCTTGCTAATGTATACTTTAAATATTTAACTTGTGGGAATAAATAATCAACCCCAATATTAATTCCAGTAAAATCACATAAATCATCAATTTTAAGTGGTAATCTTAATGTACCATCAGTATTAACTACTTTAGTATTAAATTGTACTCCAATATGAAATTGTAATGAATAGAATAATGTAGTCAGTTGTACATTTGATTTGCTGATAATATTCTTATTTGTATTTAGTTGAAATCTTTTTATTGCTGATGGTATAATTTTAGAATTCCAGTAAATATTTGATTCATCTGTATTGCACATTATTTTGTTAAAATAATCAATTAATATAATCTGAATAGTCTCCTCATTGATTAATGTTTGATCTCTAAATGATATATGCATTTCCTCTTCCCATAATCTTTTAATAGTTCTTGCAATAATTTCTCTAATAGCTGTATTACGTATTGGCTCAATGACTTTTCCTTGAGCAAGACTACCTAATCCATAATTTAAATTAATACCATAATTATGTAGGAGCTCCGTAATTTCCCATGGATCATGAAATCCAACATATAATTCATTTATAGTTGGTAAAAGATCTTTTAATAATCTAATTCTCATAGCTTGGCTCGCATTATACAACACATTTAGCCTTGAATTTGAGCCTTCTCTAACCCTTCTTGCTCCAAATTGTGAATCAAATCCTTTATTAATATAATCATTTGTCGGATCACCTGTATTTGAATTCAAAAATAATGGCACAGAAACTGTTGAAGGTAATGAAGAAGAGGTATATGTTATTAAAAATTCTTCACGTAACCTTCTTAATGGTTGTATTTCTTGATTTTCATCAATATATACAGGAAGCAGTTCACCACAATGTCTTGTAATATATAATCCATCTGATCTATGTTGCCAGATTTTGAATACATATTTGATCCCATAATGTTCATACAAATCTGTTGTTTCCATAGGAAATGGCCAGCCTTGAATGTTTAATTGCTTTGCAACAAAATCTAATTGATTTGCTAGCTCTGGATTATATGTTAATAGCGAGTCGAACAAAATATTAACATCTTTCTTGCTTTTTGAATTAACCACATATAGCTCATCATTCTTTTCGTATTTATCTTCAAGAGTTGATATCATATTTTGTGGTATTGATGCAGATTGTAGTAAATCTTTTAATACGTCTTTAGGCTTTGGATTAAAAGGAACCAATGGTTCACAAAGGACGCTATATCCCATGTATTTGACAATTGCGCAGATTGGAAGTGCAAATAATGCTTTTGCACCAATTTGAATTAAAATGTCACAAAAGGCTTTTTTAGACTTGAACTCATTATTATATAATCTTTTTGCTACTTCTTTGGAAATTCCATTCCTCTTGCTTCCAAGTATAACAGTAAAAACAATACTATCAAAAATGAAAACACGGTCATCTGTAAATAGTGGGCAGTAAATACTCCACAAATTTTCATTTGAAGCCTTTGTTACCTCGTAAAAAGCTTTGGCAACTCCAAAATTAAATGTTGGCTGACAATGTATTAAAGCAACTGCTGAAGCTCTAGCTGCTGCGTAGAATTTACCTATTTCTTGAATAAAAGATAAATCATGCTCAATATATTTGGGGTCTTCCATTGCATTATCACTTTTTGAATTCACTATTGAATATCCATCTCTCCAAACCCAATTCAATCTTTGATACCAATTATTACTTAAACATGATCTACTTGGTGGTCCAGGAGTCAAACTAGACTTTAAAGGATGGTCCTCACTTACATCCCAACTTACTGGAGGGGTTTCCAACTCATTTGCTCCATCTGGAATACTGAATAAATCTTGTGATTTTGAGCTAGTTTCTATTGACCTTGCGCGCTTTAGCTTTAATTTTTGTTTCCCAATAAATATTGAAGCTGTTTTTAGAAGATTTAGGTTTCTGCATGTTATCTCCTTCTCAAATGTTGTACTATTATTCTTATCAAGAATCTCCTCAAACCATAAATCTGGATTAACTTTTAGTACATGTTTCTTACTATTTGAAGTTAATTTGGAATCTTCTGCTACTATTGCTTGCTCTGGCTTTTCAAATGAATTTTCTAGAAATT